GGTTCGAGCATGCCTGTCCGAACACACGTGACACTGGGCGTGGCCGCCGCAGGCAGCTTCCGCGGGAACCCCGACGGCAGCGTCCGCACGTCGCGACGCCCATGTCGGCACGCCTCTTGCGAGGATCGCGCCCGCTTTCGGCTGTTCTTTTCCTTCCTCTTTGCCCGCGCACTCCAAAATCCAAAGCTGCGGGCGCGGCGCAGCGCGGAGTCCCCGCGACGCGCGCCGGTCGCCCCGGGCGGGGTCCCAGCGACGCGCGCGGGTCGTCCGCTGCGCGAAGCAGAGACAGCTGACTAGCTAACTGGCTGGCTGATAGCGGGCAAGTCTCTGACCTCTGGGCAGAGCGACGACGGGCGAACGAGGCGCCGGGCTCCCCGCAGCGCGGAGTTCCCGCGACGCGCGCCGGTCGCCCCGAGAGGGTCCCAGCGACGCGCGCGGGTCGTCCGCGGCGCGAGGCCAAACGATTAGTCGGGCAGTCGAGAGAAGGCGCGGCTCGGGGGAGACGCTCCTCAGGTCAGGCCTCGCGGATGAACTCGGTGAAGCCGAGCTCCCTGGCGAGGGCCGTCGCTTCCCTCCTGCGCCGCTTCGTGCGCGCCGCAAACTGCTCCAGCTGCTTCCGCAAGCCCTGCGGCGGCCCTGCCAGGAAGAACTCGATGCGCGGCGCCCGCATGAGCAGGAGGTCCTCGTGGCGCGTGGCGCGCGAGAGCAGCGCGTAGAGCTCCAGCCACCAGTCGTCGTCCTCCTTCTTGCCGTTCCCTACCTCGTGGCGGCCGCAATCCAGGACCACGCCTGGGCGACGTCGACCGAGGGGGCAGCGCGCCGGGCAGCCGACGGCCCAGGGCGAGAGTCCACAGGACCGAGAGATGGTCTGGCCGCGGACTGCTCGCGCCCCGGAGGTCTGGCCGCCCCCGGAGCGCCGTTCCCCCGCCCCGTCGCCTTCGCGCGTGGTGCGCCCCTGGCACGCCACCGTGGTGATGACCCTGCCGTGCGAGAACGGGAAGCCCGTCCGCGTGACCTTGGAGGTGCGGAAGGTGAACGGCTCCGACGTCCGGGGCTCGATTAACACCAGCGGGCCCGCGAGGTCCCCCGTGAGGCTGTCGTCGTGGCGCTTCAGGTCGTCCACGAAGGGCGCGCTCGCGTACTTCTCCATGCGCACCCAGAACCCCAGCGGCAAGCGCTTCATGTAGATCCTCTTCTCCCCCTCTCTCTCGGCTCTCTCGACGTCGTCCCGATCTCGAGGGTCCACGACGATGTGCACGATCTGCCCCTCGGCATCCTTGACGAGGCCGTTCTTGAGGTCGAGCGCTTCCAGGAGCCGGATCCGCATGCCCTTCGGTGGAGCCGAATTGGGTGTGCGGGGTGTGCCGAATTGGGTGTGCGTGACGCATGCGGGCGGCAGCACTGGGGCCTTCGGTGGAGCTCCCTATGGGGCCATGAATCGTGTGAGGGGTGTGCCGAATTGGGTGTGCGTGACGCATGCGGGCGGCAGCACTGGGGCCTTCAGTGGATCTCCCTATGGGGCCACGAAACGTGTGAGGGGTGTGCCGAATTAGGTGTGCGTGACGCATGCGGGCGGCAGCACTGGGGCCTTCGGTGGAGCTCCCTATGGGAAACGTGTGAGGGTGTGCCGAACCCATGCGGGCGGCAGCACTGAGGCCTTCGGTGGAGCTGGGGCCACGAAGCGTGTGCCGAATTAGGTGTGCTTGACGCATGCGGGCGGCAGCACTGGGGCCTTCGGTGGAGCTCCCTATGGGGCCACGAAACGTGTGAGGGGTGTGCCGAATGGGTGTGGGGACGCATGCGGGCGGCAGCACTGGGGCCTTCGGTGGAGCTCCCTATGGGGCCACGAAACGTGTGAGGGGTGTGCCGAATTGGGTGTGCGTGACGCATGCGGGCGGCAGCACTGGGGCCTTCGGTGGAGCTCCCTATGGGGCCACGAAACGTGTGAGGGGTGTGCCGAATTGGTGTGCGTGACGCATGCGGGCGGCAGCACTGGGGCCTTCGGTGGAGCTCCCTATGGGGCCACGAAACGTGTGAGGGTGTGCCGAATTGGGTGTGGACGCATGGGGGGCGGCAGCACTGGGGCCTAGCTCCCTATGGGGCCACGAAACGTGTGAGGGTGTGCCGAATTGGGTGTGGGGGACGCATGCGGGCGGCAGCACTGGGGCCTTCGGTGGAGCTCCCTATGGGGCCACGAAACGTGTGAGGGGTGTGCCGAATTGGGTGTGCGGGACGCATGCGGGCGGCAGCACTGGGGCCTTCGGTGGAGCTCCCTATGGGGCCACGAAACGTGTGAGGGGTGTGCCGAATTGGGTGTGGGGGACGCATGCGGGCGGCAGCACTGGGGCCTTCGGTGGAGCTCCCTATGGGGCCACGAAACGTGTGAGGGGTGTGCCGAATTGGGTGTGGGGGACGCATGCGGGCGGCAGCACTGGGGCCTTCGGTGGAGCTCCCTATGGGGCCACGAAACGTGTGAGGGGTGTGCCGAATTGGGTGTGGGGGACGCATGCGGGCGGCAGCACTGGGGCCTTCGGTGGAGCTCCCTATGGGGCCACGAAGCGTGTGAGGGGTGTGCCGAATTGGGTGTGCGTGACGCGTGCGGGCGGCAGCACTGGGGCCTTCGGTGGAACTCCCTATGGGGCCACGAAACGTGTGAGGCGTGCGCCGAATTGTGTGATGACGATGACGATGACGATGACGATGACGATGATGATGATGATGATGATGATGATGATGATGGTGGTGGTGGTGATGATGACGTCGATGATGTCGATGATGATCATGGTGATGGCGGTGGCGATGATGGTGATGATGATGCTGACGACGATGATGATGATGATGGTGATGATGATGGAAGGGGGGAGGAGGCAGCGGGAGGAAGGAAGGAAGGAAGGAAGGAGATCGCGGGGCACCGTCTCTTCAAAACGAGGACCCAACACCACAGGATGGTTGGGAAAAAGAAACGACCTTGACAAAAACGAAGAGAGAGCTTTACGGAGGAACGGCTGGGGTTGAACTGCGGACAGAAATTTCGTTCCTCCCGCAAAATTCGGGGATGGACAGACCCCCCTTTAGTCAAACGTGGCTTAGTGAAAACGACCTGAGGCCCAAACCTGGCGGGCGCACGCCTGGAAAATAACGGCCACGGCGCCCTCTCGAGAACCGAAAACGGACAATTCACTAATCGGCGTGTCACTGTTGAGGGTTCTGTCCACCCCCGCAAAATCTGGCCCAGGACTCCAGGCGAGGGCGGGGCGCAAATTGGCCCGTGGGTCCAGGCCCCGCCGCCGCCGCCGCCGCGATGTTCGTCGTCGCCGCCGTCGCCGTTGCCGCCGTCGTCGTCGCCGTCGGCGCAGGCGCCGTCGTCGTCGCCGTCGCCGTCGCCGCCGCGACGCCCGCGCATTCACGTTATTGCCAGCGTCGGGTCGCGCGCGACCGCGCGCGCCACTGCGCTCGCATTTCCGCTCGTCCGACGTGGGCCCAGGCGGACATCATGTTTTCTGTGTGCTCACAACCCGTTTAGAGCAATAGTGGGGAAAAAACCACGAAGAGGGCGAGAGGAACAGCCACGGAATCGCGCGAGGAGCAGAGGGCCCCTCCTGAACCCAAGGCGGTCTTTATTTGTGCCACGGCCTTGGCTGTTGGATGCCGCTGGGGCACCCGAACTGGTTGGGACCCCAGAACATCGGTCACGAGGCGGGATGACGCCAAGTCCGCTCAGAATCTCTTCCCGGACTCTCCGATTAGACGAGCGCGTTCCACTGCTCGCAGAGTCACTACTCGCAAATGGCCGGGATCCCCCGCGGGGGATCTACAACAAATTACCTGAAAGCAGACACGTGTTTTTCGGACGTTTGCGAGTAGGCACTTTGCGAGTAGTGGACCGCGCTCGGCGACCTATGGTCCCACCTCCTTCGCCCCCGAGCCGTCTCTGCCGGCTCCGGGGCCTGGGAACAGCCCCCGGGCGGCCGAGAAGGGCCAGAGCCTCCCCGAGCCCAGCACCTCCCAGCTGGTCCTTCCGATCTCGGGGGCGGCCAAGAGGGGGGCGCCCAAGGGGGGGGGGTGGAGGCGCAACTCGTGGCCGGCGGCACGTGCGCGGCCCAGGGGGGTGCCGGGAACGTAATGAGATAAGGAGAGGCGCCATGACATCTGGGGAGATAGCATGGCACACGCCATGGTATCCGTCCCCCCCTTGTCATCACTCCTTCTTGTCGGGCAGACGGAAGACTCGGGTACGGGGGACTCGGGTTGGCCTGACGGGGCCATCATAAAAATGACGAGACCCAATCTGAAATTTGACGCGGGCTCCCGCTGCAGACCTCCCACGAAAACTGGACCGTCAAAATCCGGGGCGCGATCGCCACAAAACGCCGGCAAACCCGAGTTCCGGCTTACTCGAGTCTTACGTTGCCCCGATCTTGGCCGCCCCCGATGATGAGCGAGTTCTTTTTCGGCGTTTCGACATTGGGCGGAAAGGCGGGGGACGGGGAGGGGTCTGACTCCGGACCTCTGTTTAATGCGAGTGTTTGTAGCAGTGCGTCCTGTCGGGGAGACCCCACCTGCGCTCGAAGCGGGCGCCAAAAACAGCCAAGAACTACTCCACGCGCAAGGGCCCGCGCCGATCGGCAGAACAATGAATAAGAGAACAATAACATTAGAGGCCTCCTAGATGGGGTCGGAGGATCGCAACGCATTGCCAACACATCTGCGATGCATCGCTCATCGGGCTCCGCGTCGAGCCGCATCGGCGATACATCGGCGATGCGGCGCGATCCTTCGACCCCATCCACTCCGACCCCATCTAGGATGAAGGGGCACTGGAACACACAAAGAAATAGACACAACTAGCAGGATTCCCTATATTTCCCCGTATTCTCTGGGTTTTCGTCTTCCCCCTCACTTCCAATATTTCCTCATATTTTCCTGGGAGTCGACGATTCTTTGCGTCTGTGTGTTTCTTCCCCTCCTGCTAGGAGGCGGGCTACAGTCAGCCGGGGCGCCTTCACGGCGTAGTCCACCACGCGCTTCACGGCCACGAGCGCGCGCATCGCGCCCGCGGCCGCGGCCCGCGGGGTGCGCCGCTGGGCGATGGGTGGGGGGGGGCGGCGCCGCTGCCAAAGAGGCTGTCCGAGAGGCCTGATGTGAAGTCGGGCATGTCCCTCTACAGGAGGAATAGCCAAGAATAGCAGGAAGATAATATGGGGACGATTTCCCGACTCTGTTTTTGACTATTTCTTAATCTTGTTTGACTGTGTTCTATTCTTCGTCCAGAATCCGCCTGCAGGAGGACATGCCCGACCTAAGCCTGAGGAGTGCGCGCGCAGCCTGGCAGCGGTGAGGCAACTCCTGGGATGCGAGCCACAAGAGTATACACCACCACCACCACCACCACCAGTACCCCTTCCTCCTCCACCCTCCTTGTCCCCTCCTCTCCCCTGGGAGAAGGAGGGTGTGAGGGAGGTGGTGGTGGTGGTGGTGGTTGTGGTGGTGTATACTGTTGGGCCCCGAGGCCTTCGCGGAAACGATTGAGGCCTAGTGGGCCTGGTTCAGGTGAGCGACAAGAGCAAAGGGATCTTACGCAGGATGTCGTAGCGACCTCGCGCGGTGGCTTATGCGGGCCGCCGACGAGGCGCGCTGTTTGGGAACGATGGCGCTGACGCGCGGCCCTACGCGGGAAGGCTACGCACAAATGTCCGTAAAGACGACCCCGCTTTCTTACGTCGCTCAGGTGCTATGCAGGCAATCTCGCCCACCTTAGCGCACACTGATACGGATTCGTCTGGTTCAGCGGCTTTCGGAAGGCTTGTGCCAGATTAGGCATGTGTTCGACGACGGCTGTACCAATCGGGGATGGACAGACCTCCCTTTAGTAAAACGTGGTTTAGTGAAAACGACCTGAGGCCCAAACCTGGCGGGCGCAAGCCTGGAAAATAACGGCCACGGCGCCCTCTCGAGAACCGAAAACGGACAATTCACTGATCGACGTGTCACTGTTGGGGGTTCTGTCCACCCCCGAACCAATAGGAGCTAGACACTGACCCCCCACGTCACGATGTTTTCGCAATGCGGACCCTCACACGTCTCGTCCCATTCTCCAGGACCGGCGTCCCATCCCGAGTCGAATGTTAGACGGCACCCGGGCAAAGCAAGGGTTCCCCGAAGGCCGACAATGGCCCAAAAACCTCGCGCCCAGGGGTAGGTCGGGCGTGTCCCCCTACAGGCAGATTTGCAAGGGATATAAAAAGTATAAAAATACCCTACAGTAGACGAAAACAATACAGAACAATCATCCCCATATGATTTGTGCTGCTATATGTTTGGATCTTCCTCCTGTAGAAAGACATGCCCGACTGAACCTTGCGTCGCGACTTGTGCAGGCGCGAGCATATTTGGGGAGGGAGCCCGGGTTGGGAGGCCTGTCCTGGAGGCTGTCCGGCGGATTGCGCCTGTCTCTGGGCGGGGGCCGTCCTCCGAACCGATTTCCCGCCGCCTCCATGCGGAGGAGGCCCTCGGCCATGCATGTTCCGACGCCCTGGCCAGCTGATGGGCGATCGGCCCAGTGGCAGTCGAGGGCCCCATCCCCCACGCCGTCTGGAAACGCCTCCAGAAGGTGGGCGGAGTGGCGTGCGGGATCCTCGACGGATTCGCGCCCAAGTGCGGGCAGGGAGAGGTATCGCACACACGCACACACACATCATATAGACACACATACACTCATACACACACGCAAACGCACACACACAAGCACACACACACACACGCACACGCGCACACGCACACACACACACGCACACGCACACGCACACACACGCACACACACGCACACACACGCACACACACAAACACACGCAAACACACACACACACACGCACGCACGCACGCACGCACGCACGCGCACGCGCACGCGCACGCGCACGCGCACGCGCACGCGCACGCGCACGCGCACGCGCACGCGCACGCGCGCAAGCGCGCACGCGCGCACGCGCGCACGCGCGCACGCGCGCGCACGCGCGCACGCGCGCACGCGCGCACGCGCGCACACGCGCACACGCGCACACGCGCACACGCACACGCGCACACGCGCACACGCGACACGGCACACGCGCACACGCGCACACGCGCACACACACGCACACACGCAACACACGCACACACGCACACACGCACACACGCACACACGCACACACGCACGCACGCACGCGCGCACGCGCGCACGCACGCACGCGCGCACGCACGCGCGCACGCACCCGCACGCACCCGCACGCACCCGCACGCACCCGCACGCACCCGCACGCACCCGCACGCTCCCGCACGCACCCGCACGCACCCGCACGCACCCGCACGCACCCGCACGCACCCGCACGCACCCGCACGCACCCGCACGCACCCGCACGCACCCGCACGCACGCGCACGCACGCGCACGCACGCGCACGCACGCGCACGCACGCGCACCACGCGCACGCACGCGCACGCACGCGCACGCACGCGCACGCCCAACACCCCCCCCGCACCCCCCCGCACCCCCCCGCACCCCACGCACCCCCACGCCACACCCCACCGCACACCCCCACGCACACACAAAGCAACACGCGCACACACACACGCGCACACACGCGCCACACACGCGCACACACGCGCACACACGCGCACACACGGCGCGCACACACGCGCACACACGCGCACACACGCGCACAACGCGGCAAACGCGCACACGCACACGCACACACACACGCACACACACACACACAACACCCACACCACACGCACACGCACACCACACCACCACCCGCACACACCCACACGCACCCACACCACACCCACACGCACCCACACGCACCCACACACACACCCACACACACCCACACACACACACACACACACCCACACACACACACACGCACACACGCACACACGCGCACAACACACGCAAACACACAGACACACAGACACACACGCACCACGCACACACACGCACACACACACGCACACACACGTACACACACGCACACACACACGCACACACACACGCACACACACGCACTCACCCACACACACACACACACACGCACGCACGCACGCACACGTACACGCACGCACACGCACACACACGCACACACACGCACACGCACGCACACATACACGCACACACACACGCACACGCACACACGCACACACACGCACACGCACACACGCACACACGCACACACAGACTCACACGTTTTCGAATTGTCCCAGATGGCCATGTTGGATAACCCTGAAGCTCTGGAAACCCTTAAACCAATCTGAGACCTGCTTCGACTGGCTTCCGCAAGCCTTCCGCCACTTTCTCTCGTCTGAGCCACCCTTGTTATACTTCAAAGGGTCTTCCGTCCAAGACGAGAGTTCAACCTCTCGATGCCTGGAAGACAGATGCCCTTTTCCGAGCCCCCCTCCTCCGCTTCCTCCTCCCTCCTCCACCTCCTCCCTCCTTCTTCCTCCTCCTCCTCCTCCTCCACCCTCATCCTCACTCTCCTCCTCCCTCCCCCTCCTTCCCCCTCCCCTCCTCTCGCTCCTCCCTCCCCCTCCTTCCTCGTCTCCTCCTCCTTCCTCCCAACAGCCTCTCTGGATAACGGCAGCCGTGCCACAGGCCGCACACACGGCTGGGCCGGACTCGACGAGGGCGGTGGCTCTGCGCTTGCGCCGACCGGCAGGGCTCCGCGGGGTTCGGAGCGGCGCGATCGGCAGGGACCGCACGGTGCCTTCCACAGAATGCTCACACGCCCAGGACTGCGGCGCCGGCTCCAGATCAGAACAAGACATGATGGGCGTGTTTTCCACCACCACCACAAGTCGGATGGGGGGAGGGAGGAGGAGGACGAGGAGGAGGAGGACGAGGAGGACGAAGAGGAGGAGGAGGAGGAGGAGGACCCTCTCCCCCTCCAACTTATGGTGGTGGTGGAAAACAGGCCCATCAAGACAAGATCCTATCCGGCCTTCTGGGCAACCTCCAGCTTCTCCTTCGGGGAGAGGTGCCCTCCCCCTGCCCCGCACCCTGGGTCTAGACAAGCCACCTTGAAGGGGCCCCAGGACACACAAATTCGCCGGCCCAACGGGCCAGGGCGTGCTAAGATCTCCGGTAACTGGTTAACAGTATTAACAGTATTTCTAGTTCGCGCGCGCGGGGCGGCCCCTGGGGGTCCCCCGGCGAAAAGTACCCCGACCAACGCCCGGTCGCCGCCCGGTCGCCGCCCGACCGCCGCCCGACCGCCGCCCCGCCGCCCGACCAAGTCTACTCAGAGATGGTTTTCCTTCTGGGTGCGGCCTCTCAGGCTCCCCAGAGCGCGCTCAGAGTGCCCCAAGAGGCCCCCAAGACTGCCCAAGAGGCCCCCGAGACGCCCAAAGAGCGCTCGAAGACGCCGAAGATGACCCCAAGACGGCCCAAAAGGCCCCCAAGACAGCCCAAGAGGCCTCCAAGACGCCCCAAGAGCCTTCCAAGAGGCCTCCGAAGAGAGCCCCAAGAGGCCAAAATCGTTGATTTTCATTTGTTTTTTCGATGTTTTTTGTGTTCTGGCTTTTTCGGCTTCCGGACGCTCCAAGACGGCCCAAGAGGCCCCCAAGACCGCTCCAAGACGGCCCACGAAGCTCCCAAGACGGCGCCGAAACGACCCAAGAGAGCCCTCAAGACGGCCCAAGTGCCGCCCAAGACGGACCAAGAGGCCCCAAGACGGGCCCAAGAGGGACTCAGGAGGGATACCGAGAACTCAAAAATGGAGCCCTCCGTCCCAGAAGGCGCCCAGGAGGTCCCAAAGAGGCCCCAAGAGGCCTCCAAGAGGCCCCAAGATGTCGCCAAGAGGCCCCAGGAGACTCCCAGGAGGCCCAAAAGAAGCCCCAGAAGGCTTCAAACATGTCTCCCAGGCGCCCCCGAACGGCCTCTCAACAGACCCCAAGAGGCCCCCCAAAGAAGCATCTTGACGACGACTCTATTTCGCCCCATCGAGAGACGACCCCCAGGGAACTGCTTCACCATCAAAACTCCCCACGCAACGCGTCCGAACGACACCCGCCCCCAAGAGCGCAACATGGGCAACGAACACACAGACAAAAACCAGCGATGCCATATCACGGGCCGGCGGAATGAGCGAAGCGATTCAATAAATACACACAAATAACAAGATTCCCCATATTTTCCCATATTTTCTGGGGTTTTGTCTCCCCATACACTTCCCATATTTTCCCATATTTTCTGAGGAATCGACGATTAATTGTGTCTGTGTTTTTCCCCCTCCTGACACCTCTCCGCGAGGATGTGTCAGAGGTCTTGGCTGAAGATGGCTCTGGACATCTCCAGGCGGTAAGAAAATGATACAATATGGCCCAAGTTTGGCGGGCATCGTACCCAACACGTCCCCAATCTCTCAGAAGCCATCAGATAGTCCCAAGACGATTCCAAGGAACTCCGAAGTATCCCCAAGACGCCCCTGTCTGAAGGGCACACATCTCCGCAAAACAGTTGAGCATGTCTTATGGCTTCGAGCGTCTCGCCTCGTTGGAAGGAAACGTATTTCCACGGGCGCTGTGCTGCGCGACATCCATACGTACTCCTACTGGTACCAGGCCCCCCTCCCGAATATCCCACTATGCCCCGTGACGAGTACCCACCCCGAATCCACCATCCCAGATACCCCGCCCTTGCGCGCCGGCGCACGACGACAGAACACGGCGCCAACGATGACGGCGGCGACGACGCTGACGCTGACGCTGACGCTGACGACAACGACCAAGGACGAACGACCAACAACGACGAAGAAAGTCGGGCATTAAAAGCGTCTGCCAGTCGTGAAGTGGGACATTGAAACAACAAATACCACATCGAACGTGTGCGCGCCGACCGAGCCGAGCCGACCGAAAACGGCCGGTCGTGATGCGGCCGAAGGATCCGAGCCGCGAAGAAGCATTGCGCTGTCACAGTGGAGGTCCTCGGTCAAAAATTCCGCCCTCCTCACTAAATTCGCCGCGTACTTTTCTCTGATATCCTTGTGCTACTTACTACCCAGCCTGCCACCCGAATACATTTTTTGTTTTTTCTGATGAATCCTGGAGCTTGTGAGTAATTCACGGCTTGCCAGTTACCAGCCTGGGAGATACTCGCAGCCCATCGCCACAAGCTAAGACAGTGAAGCTGGCCCAGCCCATGCTAGACCAACTATATTGAAAAGCGCCCTGCGGTCACTGTTTTTTGCGCCGCGCAACACTTAGACTACAAGGGCGGTTCGTGCAAAGGTCAAGTGCGGGCCACTGCAACGATTCCTTCACCTATGCTGGGGATATAAAGAGGTACCGATCTCGCTACCCCGCGAACCTCTCCCAGGGTGCGTTCTGATCAAGATTGAGAAAATAATCCAGCCGTGGCGACGAGGGTTCCTGCAGGACGAGCAGCGGTATCAGTATCCTTGCCTCCACTGATGCGCTGAATTCTGGCAGTTGTGGCCAGACGTGCAGCTAGGCAGGGAAGAGGAAATCATTGCTAATTCGCGGCCATGTCTCGTTAATGTAATTCCCAGCCGCTCCCCCAGCAGTGAGTTCACCATACCACCGAAGCACCTCCAAGGCTCGGTCATAATGTCTCTGCGCACCATGGGATGCCCGCGGGCACCACGCGTGACTGCGACTACCAGACAGCGAAAATATGGAGACATACTCGGCCAGAACCATAACAGCCTTTCGAGCGCCTCAGTGCGCTCGACAGTAAGGGAGACTACGCCAACACCATAGCACGTGAGCAAAGCAACCTACCAACACGCACCGCATGAACTTGCGAGCGCCACAGTCGTGTCGCAGCTTAGCGCGCCCGTGACATCTTCCCTTTGAGTGCAACAATTGCCTTCGCGCGCCGAAATATAGCTGCAACACAAAACGATATTGTCGTGAACACCCTAGCAGCAACAGACAACACTACCAACGCTCCGTCAACAACACACATTCACACACACACACACACACACACGCACGTGGCGTTTGTTTGAACGTCTTTCCAAAGCGGCCCAGAAGCTGCTCAAGAGGCCCCAGAGACAGCCGAGTCAAGGGAGTACTGAGTCAAGTGAGTCCCAAAACTGCCATCACGAGCCCCAAGATGGCTCCAGGATGGCCCGAATACAGCCCAAGAGGGCCCCAGGCAGCCCCAGTTTGCCCCCAAGAGCCTTGCAGGAGGCACAACTCCCCCATCATCCTAGGTTTTGGGTGCATTCTCACATAGAGCCCCTGTTTAGTATTCAATTTTTTTGCGCTACAGTGACCAACTCGCCCATCCCCCCTCCCCCCCTGGTCACGGCACGATTCGTGCAAGCACCGTGTGGGCATGAGCCGTTCCTGGGCATTCCCAGACGGCGCCGGCGCGAATCGTGACGCGACCGGCCCGCTCCCCCCTCCCCCCTCCACCCTCCCTCGGTCACGCCCGTCTCCACGGGATTCAACAAACTGTTTGTGTTCTCAGAGGTTCGGTCTCTTGATCTTCGGAGCGTCCAGTATGGCCCACGAGGCGCCAAAAACGCGGAGATGGGCCCGAACAGGGGTCTGAGAAAACCGATGGTAGCTGGCGCGGTCTGACGGGTCCCCCCTTGCAGGGTCAGACACCGTTGGTCGGACTGGGGAAAGCAGAAAGCACGCGACCTGATGCGTTCCGTTGCATTCTGGGTGTCACGGTCTGGGTAGGGCTCCCTGGAGTCAAGCGGCCCTGCTGGGACTGATGGAGGATCGGCTGCCTAAGTACAAGACGTTGCGTGCCCGACGGCGGCGGAGCACACCGCTGCTGGGGGTCTACCCAGCTCTGCCGCGCGTGCGCGCAGCGGCGCGGGCACCGCGGGCGGGAGGCGCAGCGGCAGGATGATGGGGAAGGGCGGCGGAAGCTGGAGCGGAGGCGCACGGGGGGGGGGGAAATGCTGGGGGGGAGGCGGGGGAGGGACGAGGACCACGTGTTCGACGATGGACCCCGTGTTACCCATCTGCTCCGGCGGGCGGCAAAGGGGGGTGACCGAAGTGGGGGGGTGAAGAGAAGGGCCCTGGAGGGGGCCCTTTAGACCCCCTTTTTGGGCCACTGCTGGCTCCAGTAGAATGCCTCTTTAGGGCCCTTTTCTTCACCCCCCGTGTACACCCTGCGAAATGCTTTAGAAATCATGGGTTAAGAAATTCATAGTCTCAGAATTTTAATAAAAACCCAGAATGTCTATTCAAATCTTAGGATTTACATTGAAACATTAAGAATAATCGAGACTCTGGCCGAAAACTTGGGTTTTCTTAAGCATCGCCTAAGGTGTAGGTCACCCCCCGCCCGCCCGATCTGCCTCGGGCGGTCTTCGGCGGCCTCCCGGCGGTCCTCGGCGGTTCCCGACGGTCTTCGGCGGCCCTCGTCGGATGCCAGCGGCCTTTGGCGGCATTCGGCGCGAAAGCTGGATGGCTGCGGTCAGCAAGGCGTCCATGATCGAACACTCAACGAGGCATGATGATGGAGAGGAGTTATGATGTTCCAACCTACTTTAGCCTTCCTTGATCACCAGAAAGAACTTCGAGCACCCGAAAGAACCGAAACTTGAGGGTTTGAATGTGTTTGGCCCTGGGAGGCGATACTCATTCGGCACTGTTTCGGTACTTTTCTGGGTGCTCGAGATGATTTCTGGAAGGTGGTCCTAAGTTCGATGGGGGCATTATACAGTGCGGGCGAGGCCGCAAGAAACCCTCGCAAGAAGCCCAACCCTGAGAACACGTGCGCGAGGTGCACCTGAGGGGAAACCTGGAGCACCCTGAACGCAGATGGTTTCTTGATGCG